TTGCTCCAATCCCTTTGACAATCTACGTTCACAACTCCCATTGTGCCAGATTCAATATGTTCAATATATATAACCAAAAGCAAACAAATAATCCGTTTTGGTTTTCACCAAAAAGGATCAAGCAGTAAGTACGACAAAATTCGATCAATCAAATACGTGAGAAAAATACTACTAGATCGATCAAATTGTCTTAAAAACATTTCAATATTTAAAGAGAAAAACAGTCACTGAAATATGGAAAAGATTCCATTAATCAATCAAAATTAAATGTAGCCAAATCAAAATCATGAAGATAAGAAAAGCAATCAATCCCTCAAATTTCTCAATGAAAGATATGTCAAATTTCAAATAAAGCCGTTGGACAAAATTACCAAAACGAATAATTAATGCGTAAAGAAATTATGAAACAAATAAAAAATAATGCCAAAAAATAAAACCTTTTCAATCCCCCGTTTGGCATTGTTTTTGACGAAAACACACCGCTAAAAAATCTACAAAAAAATTCTCCCAAGGAAGTAACATCAAATCAATAATAAAAATATTTCCCTAAATAAAAAAATATCATAAAAAATCTCCTCCTGATTTTGATAAAAAAAACAAGGCCAAAACGGGACGCACAAAAAAAAAACATATAACAAGAGTCTTACCAAGAACAACTGCCATACTCACTGTGACATGCAAGTCAAATTAGACACAAGACTATTAATTTTAACCTATTTACGAGTATGGAGATGTTGATTTGTGGGCATAAACTTGAAAAAAAAATTTCTTAATAATGTTTTTTAGTTTAAAACATTTTGGACGTATATGACCATATATACTACAGAAATAGCATATCGAAATAAACTTACTTGGTTCACTTTGTCCATTTACATGTTCTTTTGCCTTTGTAGCACTGAAATTTGAAGTTGATGAGTCTTTTAGAGTTGCAACTATATTTTGTGCTTTTACAAAAATGGTACGTCTCTTCACCTCTTCTCCTTCATAACCCAAAGCTTTCTTATTGCTCGTAGACTTTTCTGTACTCATCATATAGTCTAATTTGAAGGTACCAAGATCAGCTTTAATTTTCTCAATTTCTAAATTTTTTTCAATGAGCAATTTATTTAACTTTTCTATCTCATCTCGAAGTCCATTTTTAAACTTAAGCAAACCATTGTTTTTACTTGCTAGAGTTTTGTTAGTTTCACAAATCTTTAGCTATTCTGAATACATATTCTGATATGAAGCTTTAAACACTTTCTCATCAAGGTCAAATCCATCGGTTGCATAACCATCTACATCATCAAGTTCCTCCTTTTGCTCAATTGTTTCATGCATAGTTTTGTTAGATATAGGAGCACTTAGAGCAACATTACTTACTATATTCTCTTCTAGTTCATTTTTTGATTCTTCGTCACTCCATGTGATAGACATAGCTTTCTTTTTCTTCGGAGTGTTTGCACATTCAGCTTGTATGTGCCCAAAACCACCACACTCGTGACATTGTATTCCCTTCCTTTTTTTCATTAGGTTTGAAACTTTTGTTCCTGCTTTTTGGTCCTCGTTAATTATTTGTACTTTTTGCCACTTTTCTCATGAACTTTCCAAAATTCTTTGTAAGTAGCGCAAGAGCATCTTCGTCACATTCTCTTTCACACGTGTCATTCTCACAAAAAGAAGATTGCAAAGCAATAGACTTTTCTTGTTTTCTCTACTTTAGATTAAGTTCAAAAGTCCTAAGAGAACTCGTTAACTCATCAACTTTCATGTTGACTAAATCCTTACTTTCTTCTATAGCAGTTATTTTAGGAGAAAATCTGTCACGTAAAGATCTAATTATTTTTCTAACTAGTTTAGATTCAGACATTTTTTCTCTTAAAAGAAAAGATTCATTAGCTATGTCACACAACCTAGCATAAAATTCAGATAAAGATTCATCCTCCAACATGGTAAGATTTTCAAATTTAGAGGTTAACATAATAAGCTTGGTTCGTTTTACATCACCAGCGCCTTCATAGGTTTATGAAGAATATCTCAAACTTCTTTTGTTGATTCGCGTTGAAATAAATTTGATTTGATCAGCGTCTATACCACTAAAAATAGCGTTAAGAGCTTTACTATTTGAATTTGATAACTTATCTTCCTTAACCGTCCATTCCATCTCAAATTTCATAAGAATATTTTTCCATCTTCTTTGGTGGGATATGTCCAGCCAACAAGAATGGATTTCCAAACTTATCCATCGCTTTAATAAATGCCCTCATTCGAATTTTCCAATATGGATGGTTGCTCCCACAGAGGTCTAGCAATTCAAAAGACCTCTGAAATAGACATAATATTAAACGCAAGGATTATAGGTCAATAATGTCTTTTCTCAAAAAAAAAGGTCAATAATGTACCAAAATCTCATTAAAAAAATAGCGACACCGCTAAACCAATTGAAACGACTTAATTATCCAAGTTATTTAATGACTTGATGGAATGATAATGATGAATGTAAAATTTACTTTTCTATTGCATAAATAAAAATTTTATTTTACTTGTAAAAATGCTAAAAATATGCAAAGCTAAACAGGTAGATGAACACACGACATTTTTAAAGTGGTTCAGTTTCACAACCTACCCCATGAGGCTACACCCAGAGATTTAAAATAGATTACACAATACATATTGTCTTATGCATAAATTTAAAAGCACTCTCTTCTTTATTTTTATGCCGCAAATCTCTTGTTCCAATCCCTTTGACGATCTACGTTCACAAGCTCCCATTGTGTCAGATTCAATATGTTCAGCAACTGTTTAAGAACCTCACCGTCTTCCATCGAAGTATGTTTTCAATATATATAACCAAAAGAGAACAAATAATCCGTTTTGGTTTTCACCAAAAAGGATCAAGTAGTAAGTAAGACAAAATTCGATCAATCAATACGTGAGAAAAATACGGTTGGATCGATCAAATTGTCTTAATAACATTTAAATAGAAAAACAATCACCGAAATATGGAAAAGATTTCATTAATAATCAAAATTAAATGTAGCCAAATCAAAATCATGAAAATAAGGAAAGCAATCAATCCCTCAAATTTCTCAATCAAACATATGTCAAATTTCAAATAGAGCGGAACAAAATTACCAAAATGAATAATTAATGCTTAAAGGAAATTATGAAAGAATTTGTATTCAATAAAATGCACACAACCAAAATTACAACAATACTAAACTACGAAAGCTTCATTCCCCACCCTAGGAAATTATGACTCTATAAACGTTACTACACTAGTGAGCCAGTCCACACCTAATCGATCCACAAAGAGATTTCCAACTCTAATATCAGTATGAATTTGTCAAACCTTAGAGAATAAGGTCAAGCACAACCTGAAAAAACAAAAGCTAGCCTAAAAATTGATAAACCAAATCATATGAAAGAGAAGAACCAAGTGTAAAAACATTAAATACATCAACTAATATACCGAATAATCTTAATTCTACCACTAATTCAAACATCCAGGAATTTAGCGGACATGAGCACCTACTTTTATTCTTGAGGTTGGAGGTTCAAACCTTCGTACTCTTAATTTGTGGTATTAAAAAAAATGGACTTATTATACAAGTTCATCTGGTGCATATCTGGTGCATATGTGGAAATGTTGGATCAGCCAAAAATTTATGATTCAACAAGATTCTGAAGAATTGCACCAAAACTGATTGTCTTAAGAAAACCACAATCTCAAGTTATAATCAACAACATGAAGACTTCAAATCCACAATCTCAAAGTACTATCGAAGTATTATTTAACATTAAAAGGTATATGTACATATACTCCGCAAGATAAAGTATATTAAGCAAATACCCAACATATACTCTATAAAATCTGGATTTTGATCATCATTCGAGTTGCTGGAATTATTGTCGGTAGTGAGATTCAATGTGGAAATGACAATAAAACCAAAAAATTACTACGAAATGACAATGAAATATTTTTAATAACTTTAAAAAAAAAAATTTGATTGTAATAGGGTATCAAAAGATGCACCGTATACCCAATTTGAGAGAAAAGGGATGTCACCCCTTTGCAAAAAAAAAATAAAGAAAGAAAAAAGGAATGTCACTCATTTAGATGCACGATTTGGGGGTCAAAGCGAACATAGTTCAGGGTAATTGACATATATTACCAATCAAGATGTTGTGACTTTGATCCCCCACCCCCACATGTTGTAGTAAAAAACAAATGCACGATTTCGTGTTGAATGGTTGATTGTTTCATTTTTCAAAATTTTATTTATTTTTTTGTATCACTTTTGTAATTAACATTTTAAAATAGGTTAGTTGTATGCATATCCTAAAATAAACTCATCCAACTGTGAGGCTGCTCATACCTAGTAACAAATCCTTAAATATAAAAATAGAAATTTAACTAATGAAGGGTGTTAATTGCACCATTTATCTGTCAAGCTAAGTTTAAATTGCAACATTTATTCACAAATCACTGAGCGTAATTAAGTGGATAAAGCAGGCATTAATGATGTAATGAAACTAATTTGAATAACCTATCAACTTTGAAATTATTCGTTGCTTTGTCAACCTTTGAGGGTAGAGCAAATTGTTTATCAGAATCAGTATTCTTTGTGGAATGGAAATAGACTCAACAAAAATAATAATAAAAAGAACATAAACTTTTGTAAAGAAAGAAATATAGAAATACCAAACTAGTTTCTTTTCTCTTTTTTTTTTTTTATTTAAATTAAGTAGCTTAGTCCTTTTTTCAAATGTTTGAAATAGTGAAAAATACTCCTCAATTTCAAAAACTCTCATATTCTTTGTGGATTCCTCATCATCTAATCAAAACTAGTTTTATAAGCAGCTCATCTTATGAGTTAAAAAATTTATTTAAAAAATTATAAGTTATAAAATTAAAAATAAAAAAATAAAAAAAAAAACTTAAATTTAGTGTTTCTTTGCAGCATAGCTTAAAAATTATATATTCACAACCTGTTCAATTGAAAGTAAAACTGATTCAATTCAATCAACAAGTAATATGCTTTTTCATTGAACATGTAGAAAATTACAATCGTCTTTTTTCTGTAAACTGCCATTCATCCCAAAATATAGAACAACAGCACCTAACCAACCAATGGATACAGAGTTTATATTGACAGAAACTTTTTTGTTTCAAAATAATTGGCTTCTCCATCCTTCCTCACAGCTACCTGCCCAAAAAACCCATCAAAATTAAATGTTTATATCAGTCATCAAAAAACCTTCACCAAAATTAAACAACATCGTACACAAAACTTACCTTGTGTACACAAAACCGTTGGCAAGTTCAGATTCACTAAATGGACGAAGGAGGACGGACAAGACGACAACAATGAAATGGTGTTGTTGGCCCTATAAAATTTGCCATCAACGTCGTATCTTTATAATCGACAATGTGAACGAGAACCACTAAAAAAGCTTGGTTCTAGCATCCCAGGACGAGGGCATGTATTTCAGCCCAAGTATTGACAGTGTAGAGGACACCAGACAATCCTTTCCAATTGCGCCGTGTCTCTTCGGTGAGACCCTTCTGTTTCTTTACCACGTTGGGGAACAATGGAACAAAAGAGACTCCGAATCGAGTTGCCAGTCTCCTTAGACTGGAACTTGACCCGATAACAATTCCTACATCTGCTTCCAGCAGACAAAGCAAGTCACCGACCGAGTCTCCAACGTATATACTGAAGTTCTTTTTATCACTGCTGGAGCTGTCTAAGATTTTTTTGAAAGCTTTGACCTTATCAATGGGAGATTCCACTTTCTTTACTAGATCACCAGTAGAAACTGCTTCTTCAAAGACGATTTCATTGGCATGTATACTCACCACAGGTAGTAAACCACCTGACAACACAATAATCATATAATTGGTTCATATCTCTCTCTTAAATTTAACACTCAAACACACCGTTATTCATCTAAACAGCCAAGAGAAATTATACAAAGACATTTGTTCTTCATATTTCTATACAAAGACATTTATAACCATGCATGACTATGCACATATAATATATAACTAATTACTCTACTTTTGTTAATGGAAGACTAGGAGTAAGATTTTCATCTCTAGAGGAATCCGTCGAGAAGACCATTACGACCCTTATGTTAGTAATGTTAATTTTGGTCTATCTATTAATATGACACTAAATCCTAAGGCCAACTTATCAATATGACAAAGTAAGATGTAAAACTTCTAAACGTCAATTAAAAAGAAACTGTTAAGCGTACAAAAGATATTTAGGTACTGTAAATAAATTACTAATTATTTATGTATTGGAAAGAAATGTACCTGAATTAAAAGACGACCTAATGAGATCCCCGCACCAACAGTAAGACAGTATGTGGATACCAACATTGACATTTTCTTTCTTACTAATACTTCCGAAGAAATTAAAACAACCATCTTGTATAATAAGATGTTCACCAGCTCGTCTTATATCTTCAAAATTTAAGCCCTTAAGTACTCCAGACTCGATGACCCTATTATTCGCCCTTTTCTCGAAATCAGAGAGCTGCTCAAGAGCTGTACACAGATCTTCATATTTGAATTCCACTGCAAGACCAGAATATTATGATTAATGATGATACTTACTGACTTGAAATTATTTCCATACAATAAACGAAAATCTGTGTTGTAAGTAATTACCGGTACTAGAGGGCATAATTCTGTCTATGCATTCCTCATACTCTTCTGTGTATTGCCTGGAAATAGCACCCCATGTGTTTCTGAGGTCGGTTGATGACATTCGAGGAATTTGGTCTTCGGGTTGAATTTGATCGGGTTTTGGAGCTCTTACTATTGCTATCTCTGCCAGAATGGCAGAAGAATCAACAACCGTGCAAGTCAAATCATAATCAGAAAAGAGCATCAACCGTTCCTCTGCAGGATTATGATCCTTAATAAGAGGAACTACAGTCTTCTGCTTAACAGGCTGAGAGCAGAAAAACTCCAGCTCAAGTTTCATAGCTTGGTGATAAAGCTTTTCAATGATGCCAAGCTCTTCACCAGTCAAAGTTGCACATAGTTTCTCAAGCACGTCTTCCATTTTCTCAGCGGCTTCCTGGATTCAAAAAATAATAATAGTTGGCCACTTTTGTAATCTATCTTTTTACTGCAAAACTAAAATCATATCAACGATCAAAAACAAACCTGAAAACCTTTAGATGAGTAGTTTTCAATCCACTTCTTGTAGAGGTGATCACTGAGGTCACCACGAAGAATTCCCTTAAACTCAGTTGCTATATAGGCGTACAGCCTCATACAAGGCGTCATGGCACCAAGAGTGTAGGCAGCAACCTTTGTTTTTTCAAATGGGGTTTCAATATTACCAAGACCTTTGGCTCCTTCAATCTTACCGGATGCCGTTGCCAGCAAAAAATCGGTGTATTTGACTGTAGCAGGACTGACAGGATATTCTTTCCCAACCTCGGGATCCCATTCCTTAAAAGTCATGCATCAAGCCAATAGGGTCATATAACTTCCCGAGACAATAAAAAGATCAGAAGACGTAACAATGGCTGAATTGTAGTAATGGCAATCAAATGTAAGGGATAAGGGAGGAGGAAGTTTGCAAAGAGAAATGATGATGCCCTTATAGTTCTACCTTAACAAACAAATCATGCATTTTCAGTTCTGCGACCACTTCCTTTCTCAACTCATTGATAGAAAGCTTTGCATCATCATCATCAGCACATTCCGCAGCTAAATCATACCTAGATTAGAATAAAATAAGTTAAGTTACCAAAAAGTATAGACCTGAGAAAAGCAACTGGAGATGGACATTTACATTCTAAACCTCCATTTAAATCTGAGAAAAATGATAGAAAAACAGATAAAATATTATACAAGTGGTGAATTAGACCCATTCTCTGATGGAAAACATTTTTATAAAAGACCAGGACCCTCAAAAGTTAATACAAAACTTATCGGTAGTCTGGACCACTAGGCAACAACCACATCATGATTCAATTCTTCTTAGTTTCACTGGAAAGAAATTAATTCTACTTTGCAGCAATAGGCATCAGAGGCATTCAAACTCAAGAAGTCATATGGGGAAAAATTAAAGCGTAATAGGATGCTTGAATTCAGAAGGGGTCATAATTAGTCAGGGGTGGCCTTCATGAAAATTTTGCCCATACAAGTTTTCCAAATTAAGTTCTCACTTTCCCAATACTTCTCAGCAGTAAAATAGGCCAAAATTTAAGACCCCAAGACATTAAGGGAAAGAACATCATTGAAACCAAATAACATTGCCTGCCTTGGAATAACATAAGCAGTATT